ATTATTTGAAAGGACTAAAGGCCAAGATTATTAGAAGTAAAAGGAAGGAATATAAAGCTGGTTTATTTGATGAAGGTTAAAATACATTTATTTGTTATCTCTGGTAACCCTTAATGGACTTTTGCTGACATCAGGACTGAAATGATGAGGTATTATGGATTTGTTTATAGATGGGATATGGGAAGAAGAGTTCATTTGTTGCATTTTAAGAGAAGGTGCTAAGTTACTAAAATTGGTTATACTTGCTGTGATGAAGGGAGAAGTAATTTCTTTATAGATTTCTTTTTTTACTATATTCTCATTTTTTCTTTTCTATTTTTCTGTTTTTTCTTCTCTGAACTTTCTTTTTTTTCTTTTTTCTTTTCTTTTTTTGTTTGCATTAGTTTTTATCTTTTAAATTGTAATGTTTAATAAAATTACTATTAAATTTTTTTATTTTAAAAGTTTCTGCTGGGTTTCAATCCAGCAACCTTCTATTTACAAGACAAGTGTTATAACCATTGTGCTATTGTAGCATTATGAGAAAAGACAGGTCTAGAAGGCATTCAAGACAATGGTAACCATTGATTCAGTTGAGGGGGTATTCCTTCTGCTGTGAAGTAATCAATAAGCTGCTAAAGTTAACCTATAATAAAATAAAGCCCAAATGGATAGGAATGCTTAAGATGATGTAAGAGGAAAAGAGTACTTTAAAATCACACCAGGAAATCACATCTGGAGGTTGCATTTGTAGTGGAAAAGAAAAAACTATGCTGCTGCCCATGAATGTACCCATGTGCTCCTCTTTGAATCAGATCCCTGCTCACGGTAACCTCCAAACGTTAAGTGTGATCCGTGGCCACAGAATATTGTCTACCTCTGCTTTAGGGATTTAAATTTTCATTTACAATTTCTTTGACAACAAAGGAAAAGGATTGATTAAACTCTTGTTTGCTTAACACAAAGAGGCTAGAAGAAGAATAAAAATAATCAGTCACTGACCTGGCACCTGGGTTTGAACCAGAGGTTTTCACTGGGGTCCAACAGTGAGACACTGAACGCCAATGTGAAATATTAGAACAATAAGAAAACTTTTAAGATACTATGAGCAATAATGTACGTACAGAAGTACTGGGATATAGTAAATAAATCATTTGAAAACATGACATAGGGAGCAAAAGCCATATAAAGCTACTTCTCACAGAGATTTCCCTGGTAGTTTTCTATAAATAGTTGCAGAACACAATTAACATGGTTGGCTGATGATATATACAGGGATGTATTGCTAGGCCTACATTTAGGCATGCTGAAAGTAGAACTTAATTTAGTAGATTAAGTATTTGCTCTAAGTAGGATTAGCTCTCAGGCCAATTTATAGAGAGTAGCATGTAATAATGGGGTCTACACAAAACTGTATTGCACGTTAACAGAAATAAGAAATCAAATGGGAACATTTAATACATTTCTATCTGCATTTGTTTTATGAACATATGCTGCATTTTTAAATAATTGTGGAGTGACTGACTTATAGCAAACTAAATTGTCCTGTGAGGATTTAGTTGTACCCACCTGTGTTGAACATATAGAGATCATCCACTGCTATATCATTTTCCATGCCACCATACAGAAAGATGCTTTCACCTACTACAGCTGAACTATGTTCAAGAGTCTGAGGAGCAAGACCACTGGTTGTGATTTTCTGCCAGGTTAAAAAATCTTAAGGGAGAGGAAAAAAAAAGTAAATTACTCTCTTATTTTGAAGTTGGCTTGGGCAGAAACCACTTTCTCATTCTGTTTCTTTCACAAAATACAATCACTGAAAGAAGTGCTACAATGCAGACTTTTCTTTAGATCTCCATAGGTCTTCTGCAAATTACTGTTTTAAAAGCTGGATCCTTCTACTGCCATTACACTGACAATGTATTTTTTAGGCAAACAGCTGCTCTTTAATTCAGCACTTCCAATTAGGGCTGTGCCAAGCGTCGAAGGGCTGCTTCCACAATGCTTTGACTGAGCTACCCCTTTGAAGCTGCTTTGTAAAGGAATGTGCCTACCCCCTCCTTCTAAATGCATGTGCTGAAGCCTTTTCCAGCTTTTGAAGGTACCAAAGGGTCAGAGAGAATTACAAAAATGACAAGAATGAATAGCATTTCCTCTGCATCTCAAGGCAAATTAGAGTTGGCTCATTTATTATATGAGCTGTGTCAACAAGGAGGTCTGGAGAGTGTCTATGTTATGGATAGGCACATTATATATTATTTTCTTGCTAAGTGCCACAGAAGGCAGATTGCTGAATGTGGAGCTGTGAAGCAAATAGGTGGGCCTGGAGAGGGAATTCCTGAAAGACAGGATCCTCAAAATAATGTTCATGGAGACCAATGTGTCAGTGGACTCCTCCACAGCAACTTTGGGATTCCATGCCCAGTTTAACTGTTTTGTTTTGTGATTGAATATGTCACTTTGTGCATTGACAAGCTGAGACTGTCTACCCCCATGAAACTCATAGCATAACATGCTGTCAAAATGTGCCCAGTGAACAAAAACATTGCGGGGGGGGGGGAGCCCTGACTTAAGCTATCCTCCTCCTCGAAAAAACCCCCCTAAGCAAATAGTTCTATATTTTTTAAAAAAACCAGTTGAATAACATTCAAACAAGCTTTTTACATTTTAAATGCCAGTTTCCCAACAATTATCAGCAGAAAACTATCCTGTTAAAATTTGGCACTATAACTGAAAGTGACTCTAGGGACCGCAAAAGAAAAACGTGAAAGACACATGCAGCTGGTGGGCCATAACTGGCCCATCCCTCAGTAACAGCAGATTATCTATCTATCTATCTATCTATCTATCTATCTATCTATCTATCTATCTATCTATCTATCTATCTATCTATCTATCTATCATGTTGCAGCTAGGGGGATTGTGGCCAAAAAAATTGCAGTTGGTTTTTATCTTCAAGTTCCTCAAGTTTTGGAGATGCAATATATGAGCAGTGCAGGAATTACTTGTAGAGTACAAGACTGCCTTGAAATTTTTGCTGTGAAATACAGGGTCTGGATTCATACAGCATGCTAACCTATGATTAACTGAACCATAGTTTACTAAATTAATTCCATTACCTAGGTTTGCATGCACAGTGAACCTTAGATTAATTATAGTGGTTGGATTTGCATCACATATCCCCACAATAAACTGAGCAAATTCACCAACCACATTTTATTCCGGGATGTTGTGATTACCTACCCTATGGTTCACTGTGTTGCACAGACTCAGAAAACTGGATTAATTGAGAAAGCAATGACTAATTTATCCACGGGTAAGTGTCTTGTGTGATCACAGCCAAGAAGTCACAAACTAGCCAACCACAGTTTAGCCTAGTGTGTTGGGCGAACTCAGCCTTCTAGAACTCCATCTTCCTGACCCAGGTGGGGGGATGGTATTCTACCTTGCTGCTTAAAAATAAGAGGGTGAATTCTGCCACTATATGCTGATCTGCCTAGTGAAAGAGTTGTTCCTTCTTGTTAGACCTTTCATGATAAGCAATTCCATCTCAGCCAATATTTCCAGCCATAGACTAAATTCATCACACCCAATGGATCTGTTACTGAGACTGTGGGCAACATCTGTTTTCTTTATTTAAGGGCTGGTCTTTACTGTTCAGTGGGCATAATATCTAAATCTGGGACTTTCCCTGGGAGAAAATCACAACAATATTTGTGATTTTTGTGATATGTCCCAGAAAAAAAATACTAGAATGAAACACACACACACACACAAGCATGCACACACACATAAATGCTATGAGTATAGTTTTCTTGAACTGTAATACAGGATGGAAGTTAAGTAAAAGCAACGTATTTGATTTATCCTTCATCATATACAATGCAAAAAGAAATTTGGGGTGGGGGGACCACTGAGCATTTCATAAAAGCATCTTCACCTCATTTCTTATATTGCTACTCTCATTCATGTTTTAAAATAATATCCCCCAAGTTATGTATGAGCTTTTCAATATTGCACAATGTATACCCACACGTATGTATATTGTGATCCTAACTATATAGAGAAAAGAGTGTCTAATACATATGTTCAGTGATGTTCCCACACAAAAACAGCCTCATTCATATGTAATATAATACTACTGTTACGTAGAAAAACTCTGGACAGTAAAGAGTTTGGAAACATTGTCTTCCCTTTTTAACGTGGGCTTATTATGTCTGAACCTCGGCCAGATTGGATAATGATCAGGCTGACTTGGAATTAAAGGTGGTGTAGACCAGGCCACAAGCTTGGGGAAGGCTGCTCTAATTTTACTTTAAATTTAACGATCCCTGTGAGTTTGGACAAGATGAAAAAACACAGTTAATGAAAAGCAGAAGCAAAACTTCCAGTTTCCTCTTTAAAGTTATGCCAGAGAAAAAAGCAAAGAGAGTGTGCATAGCCACAGCTCATGGATGTAATGCTAAATCATTATTTAGTGTAGCATCTGAAGTGGATTAATGAATTCTTTAGTGGGAAAGCCAGTGTTAATCATTTATAAACCACTGTGCATAATTCAGAAATAATGGACTTAGAAATGAAGCCTATGGACAGAGGTAGTATCAGTCTTTTAAAGAAAGGTGACACTATATCACAAGAACCTCCTTCCTTCCTTCCTTCCTTCCTTCCTTCCTTCCTTCCTTCCTTCCTTCCTCCCTTCCTTCCTTCCTTCCTTCCTTCCTCCCTTCCTTCCTTCCTTCCTTCCTTCCTCCCTTCCTTCCTTCCTTCCTTCCTTCCTCCCTTCCTTCCTTCCTTCCTTCCTTCCTCCCTTCCTTCCTTCCTTCCTTCCTTCCTCCCTTCCTTCCTTCCTTCCTTCCTTCCTCCCTTCCTTCCTTCCTTCCTTCCTTCCTCCCTTCCTTCCTTCCTTCCTTCCTTCCTTCCTTCCTTCCTTCCTTCCTTCCTTCCTTCTCTAGTAAATTGTTAAGGACTGGTTGAAATGTTTGCCTCCCCAGACATGACTAGCTGAATATTTTTTCTTGCAGGATTATGCCAGTCTCTGTGCAATAATGTAAACCTGTACAGGGTAGAGCATGGATTAGGAGCAATGATGCTTGGTGAGTGCCTTTGCTATAGAGTATAGAATCTGCTGTACTGTTAAGCAGTGCTACCAGAAAAAATATGAAAAGTATAACACGGCAGTGGAACAAATCTGGGGTTCTACACTCAGCAACATTATGGTTCATAATTACTCTGTGGTAGTTCCCAGGTATTCACTGCAGGGAATATTATCCACATGTCTGCCCTTTTCTTTGACACTGCCAAGTCATATAATCTCTCCTGTTCGGCAACTCTCCAGAGCAGAAGTCCTGATCTCCCTGTTTCCTTTAAGGGTCTCTCCCCACTGCTAAGTGATAGTATTATCCACCCCTCCTTGGGTCAACAAAAAACTATGCCAGCATGACATTTGTTGATCCCATTGTGGAAGCCTATTCTGCTTCTATTGCCTCTGACTCCTTGCTTAAAGGTACTATCCTGATTATATTTGCACAGCGGATGATTACTAAAGCAGTTGGTTGATTTCTCTGGCTTTGCTTCCCTCTCTCTTCCACATATTGGTAGTCTGTGGGAAAAAAGCATCCACCAGTTACAGCATTGTAGCAGAAATGGGGCAGGTCTGGCTGTGGGACTATGTCCATCATCACTAGGCTCCTTCTTGTGCCCCTTCTGTTATATCCTGTTCAATTGTAACCAAGTTTAATTTTTAAAAAATAGATCACAGTCTTGAAGCAAGTTGAGTCACTAACAGCACAATTTCTCTCCCCTTTCTTTACATACATTAATGTTTGCATCAGATTGTCAATACATCTCTCTCCAGAAATCTAGCCCTGTACTCAATAGCTAATTGCAGAAGCTTCAAGGACACCACTGAATAAGTAGTTTTTATTGTAGATATGAAAAGAGTTGCATATGTGCAAAAGATCAGTCTAATGTAGAATACAGACAGTCCCTGGGTTAAGAATGAGTTCCGCTCCTAAGACTGTCTTTAACTCAAATTTGTATATAAGTCAGAATTCATACTTACAAACAGGCTGCCTGTTACTAAATATGGTGGACGGCATTCTCCTTCCTGGAGCTGACGAACCACTGAAGCCACATGATGTTTTCATGAACTGCTGAAAACCACTGAAAACAGGCTGTATATTAAAAATGCACCACTTCAGCTGTTCATGAAAACATTGACTGGCTTCAGTGGTTCGTTGGCTCCAGGAAGGAGAATGCCGTCCACCATTTTTAGTAATAAGCAGCCCTTTTATAAGTATGAATTGTCCATAACTTGGATGTTCTTAACCTGAGGACTGCCTGTACATTTGTTCCTTGTTTACAAATGGTTCTGCCTTGTCTGGTCTTTGTCTAACCAGTTTTAGCCTTTGTAATATAGACAACAAACTGTGACCTCCAGATTCTTCCATATTTTGTTTGGGAAAAACAGTAGAGAAGAATTGGTCCTGTCATTTCAGTGTTATGCTCTTTCAGCCTGTTATGGTATTACATTGTTACATTATTTCAACATTAGGATACACTATTTAAAGCCACATTGCTGTGTCTTGCACTTTAGAGACAACAGCAGAATGATGGCAGATGAAACTGATCAGTGACCAATTGGGAGAAGGCATACCCACATCAGCTTGAATGGACCAATGTCACTTTGTTCTTATCTGCTATAGATCCCCTGATTCACCTCTGATATGAGTGGTAAAGAATAACATCTTTCAACTGCAACTGGATGTTGCCAGTTTAAGTGGGGAAACATTAACTGTAATATAGCTAAGAATGACATGAACCTGTGTTACTCATAGATTTGGATGAGATGAAGACAACATCTTGGGAATACAGCTGAAAAAATATACTTTGCCAGGTTATGTTTCTTCTGCATCTACTAACTGATCAAGAATTGCTGCTAATCAGGGATGTTGAAAACATAGCCCCTTATTACTAAAATGTATCCATTTGTTGAACTCCAAAACATCTTAATGTCACTAGGATGGGGAGGCTACTCTAAAAGCTCTCTCAAAACCTCTGCACATATAATAGTGTGCAATAGATCTGAGAGAATCTACATTTGCTTCTCAGAAGGTAGTCAGTGTTTATTTGCATTGCAAAGTCTTACAACTATTGCCAAAGTTAGGGCTGGCATGTTGCCCTGCATGAGGCCCATGGAAGATTAAAGCATTTTCTCTTCTGGAACAAATCAGTCTAAAGTGGAATCTAAGATACGGTGGATTATGAACTTACATTTAGCACTGAGTGAACGTTTGATTTGAAATGTTCTCAGTAGGGAATCTAACCTTAGAGCCAAATCACCTTCAGTGAGCAAAGATATATCTAAAAGGGAGTTGTTTTTAAATGAGATACATTCCTTTCAGCTCTCTAGGTGCCATGAGAAAGTAAGCTCCAACTCTTTGTGGCATAGATCTAATCAAAGGGCATTCATCTTTCATTTGTTCAACTACTCTGTAATATATCTGTGCAGAATGAGCTCCAATTTTCCATGAAAAGAAATAATAAATAATCTTACTAGAGGGACACCATAAGTTTTGAACCGGGTCCCAATACTTAATCAGATTTTTGCTTAAAACTTATGCTTTAATCTTAAAAGGTTCAGGTCATTCAACAAAGCTAGTAGAATCCCCACCATGCTATACACACACAGCAAATACTAGTTTGCCACTTGATAAAATGGATGGGATCATCAAAAGCCACCACGGTGAGTTGTCATTGCTGACCCTAAATAATAATGAATTAGGATAAGAAATGTTTTTTACAAAACATGAGCAAGAATGCTTCTGACTTGCCATTAACTAAATGAACTATAAATCCTGCGAAATTTATGTTTTTACTCACCAAGATCAAAGACGTAGACTCCTGGAAGGCAATACTCAGCATTCTTGCTTGAACACCCTCCAAATAAATATATCTTGCCTTTTACTACACTATAAAGCAAAGTTGAAATGTTAAAGTCATCCATAAAACTTCTTCCCCCCATGGTTAGAATTTTCTGTAGAAAAATATACCCTTGATTCCTCAAAGGGTATTACTGACCTATAATATTCTTGATTACACAGTTGTATCAATAATCTAATTTGGGAGTAGACAACCTTTTGGTCCTCAACAACCAAGAGTGCTGGAAGGATTCTATGATGTGCCTCTGACAACTGTCCAGCTGATGAATGTTGGGAAAAGCTGAGGATTACGACAATGTGGGTGTGCTTCCCCACTGTTTCTAGCATTCATCAGCTAGGCAGTGGAATCAGGTAAGAAGCAGGGAGGGGAGATGGGTCATATGGAAACCAGCTGAGGGCCACAGGTCATCTGCGGGTCATAGATTGCCCATACGTGATCTACATTCTGACCGGTTTTTACTCTGGTGCAGCTTATATTTCTGCAAGTAGTGTTTTTACAGTGTTTGTATGTGCGTGTGCACAAGTGCATGGCCTTGATGATTTGATGAGGACATATAAATAATAGTGACTAACTCAATAAACAAATAAACTGTGTAACATTTTTTTTTCCCACCATTAGGTCAGGAAATGGGTTCCTGAAGAGAATGCTTTGCTAAAAACTAAAAGAAAAAAAAAAGGTAATTAATTCCATAAGGGGTCACGTGGCATGAAGAAGGCAGTGGGAAAACTGCTATAGTGTTATTGCAGATGGAGTAAAACATTAATTTCTTGAGAAAGTGGATAAATTTATTAACCTCTATCCTATTTCACTCTCATACGTCTTTTCTAAACTGAAAGCCACACCTGTGCATTGAAAGAAACAGGTCCAAATGGAAGCAAAATTATAAACTTGAAGGTAATGAGCAGGGATGATTTACACATGAAAATCACTTTCTCGTCTTTCACGGTGGGTTGAAGCATTTGGTGTGTAGCACCTCACTAACAGGAAAGTTTATGTTCAGTGGTAGCAGTTTCAGGTAATTTGCTCTATGCCACACTGCAATCACCTGTTCAAAAAAGGCTTGTAGTGATGTGAACACCTTAGAGACCTTCTGAACATGAACACCTTGTGGCGCTTGTTATGTGGGGCTACTTATAGAAGTCTGCATAGCCATATATAGTAAGGAAAACATGCCCCAAAGGCAATTAGATATTTTTTAATGGTGTAAGCCAACCAATGTCTAGTGGAGTGGTTAGCTTGCTGTTATTTCTAAGTATTCTTTGCTAGGTGTTTTTAAATTTCTCTATCAAGAAATACAAATTCACATCCACTGCTGTCTTGATCACATTTGGGGAGGGGTGGGACATGAAATTCCCCATATGGTTTTTGCAGCTGTTTCATACAAGTTTGCAGAACTTTGCACATTCTTGCTACTGCTATGCTAGAGTTGGCGAAGAAATGCATCTGAGGTTTGGAAATCTATATCTATACCCCCTAATAAATTTGAAAGTGAAGAATGATGACTCCAGCATCCAGACGTTAAACATTTCCTAAGCCAAAAAGATATGTTTTCAAATATTCACATAAAATAATATATAGTGGAGTAATTTCCCCTTTAATAGGCTTCTAAAGAGGAAAAAAGCTTCATGAGGCTTCTATGGAGAAAAGAAATATCTCATTTTCACTACATGCCAATATTGATATATGCATTGTAATGTGAATCAATTAGAGTAAACTAGTAACAACGTTATTTGTGTTATAATCTAAAACACTTTTACCAAAAAAACAAGCTCCATTGATCACAACTGCATTATTCTGGAGAAAGCTGGGATAGACTCCATTTCAACTCCCTGCACCAAAATGCAATTGAAGATAATTTAGAACAAAATTGATTATGGGCTTTCTGACAGTTTAATAATTGACATTTTTTTTTATTTTGTTTCTACATATTTGAACTGCTGAAAAAAATGAGGCAGACAACATCAGACTAATGGCCTTCAGATTTCAGTAGCCTTCATGCTGCCCGAAGATAATGAGACTTAAAGTCAATCTGACACCAAATCTGATCTGATGCAACTGCTTCCTTGGCTGCTGATACTCTCTGGGCTCCTAAAGGGTACTGTTGGAATGCAGTTTTGTTATTCCCAGCTGAGCAAAGCTGTAGCACAGAGATGGTGCAATGTCCATTGCTGAAATCCACGAGAGTTTGCCGATATGGGAAATTATATTGAAATGGTGGTTTTATGGATGACAATGAAGAACAGACATCCATACACAATCATAAATATGGCTTCCTTACCAAGAACTAACCAGCTGAGATAAACTGCTTGGTGCAGAACAAATGAATGGGACAATACCATGAAACATCTTGGAATTCATTTATTCTTAGCTAGGATAAGGACTATAATCAAGTACATCTTAGTTTCATCATTATTTCTGGAGAAAGTATTCGTGCTTTCCTTTCTTTAGGTTGAACTCAATGGCTTGAAATCAATGCTGCAGAACAGCCTTCTGCAATTAGGTGCCCTTAATGTGCTGGAGAATAACTCCTATGGCACCAGCTACTGGGGTTAATGGCCACTTTCTTCTTTCTAGCTCTTCGTGTTTTAAACCAGGAATGGGTAGGATGCTCTCCATATGGACAATACATAAATGGAAAGTATTGAATCAGAAGCAATATAAAGTAAGATTTCAGATTTTCTGAGCTATTAGAATATAATACAAGTTAAATATGGAGAATGCATGAAACTCAGTTTACTTCCTAAAAAGGGCGCACATTGCTGATCTCCTTTTTTTTTGAGTTTGTGAGATTAATCAGTTTCTTTTTATATCTCTGAACCAATAAATCAATGTTTCTCAAACTTGGCAACTTTAAGATGTGTGGACTTCAACTCCCAGAATTCCCCATCAATGTTTCTCAAACTTGGCAACTTTAAGATGTGTGGACTTCAACTCCCAGAATTCCCCATCAATGTTTCTCAAACTTGGCAACTTTAAGATGTGTGGACTTCAACTCCCAGAATTCCCCAGCTGGCTGGGGAATTCTGGGAGTTGAAGTCTATACATCTTAAAGTTGCCAAGGTTGAAAAACACTGCAATAAATGATGGATAAGTTTTCTTTTTCTGAATTGCTTGCTTACCAGAGTGAATGCCCTTGCCTTGGACAAGGGATGTGTCCATCCTGTGGTATTTTTTCCCAAGTCAAATCAGTAGGAGTAACTGAAAATTAGGAAATATTTGAGATTACCACTATCATTATATAAATCATTATATGTACATGTGCATGGATGCCTACACACAAACATAACACCTTGGTATCTAAATAAGATTTCCAAAGTTAAAGAAATTATTGTGATGTGAGTTCACACAATTATTTCCCTCCAAGAAAAGCAAGACTACATGTCTCATTTGTAAGATCCACATTTTCATTATTATACTGTGGTATGTAAAAAAGCTAATTATTCTTGTTTACAGGAGAATAATTATTTCTGAAGAAACTGATTGCTGCTTCAGGAAAAGAGGAGAGAGGGAGAAGAGGAAATATTTTCACTATATATATGGGGAATGATTGGCTAGTTTCACACCTCATGCTAAGTCAGAATATGGTTTCTTTGGTTTTGGTTTACAGTGTTATAATAACCCAGACAACTGTGGTTAGAAAACAATCCATAATAAGAAAATCACAGTTTAATCTCATGTGTGATGTGCAATTTTTGTTGACATACAGATCACTCAGGCAGTGATCTTATCAAGCACTGTGGCATTCATGGCATGTTTCCTGAAATATTGAATAAAGAACATTTCTTTATTCAATCAAATATTCAAGAATAAAACATTGGATACACTTAGCACAATACAGAGGCATCTGCAGACTCCACCTTTCATCAAAATGATAAAAACAGCATCATGTTGTCATGACGGTGTGACACGGATTTCTTCACTCTCCTGCACATAGCTCTGGCCCAATGTATGAACCCAGTTACTCTAAGCCATAATGTGTTTTGTTTGATCTAAGCTTAGCATTTATTTATTTGCTTGTTTAATTTGTACATCACTTGACTCCTAGCATGTTGCATGAATCTAGCCATTATATTTATAAACCATGGTTTATGGTTGAGCATGATGTGTTAATCCATGCGTTGGAAGCTTATTCAACAAATCTTGGTTAAAACAATGTGAAGCATGAACCATGTTAGTGGGACAAATCAAGCCAAAAAAAATCTCCAGAAGATACACTCTGCAAAATGACGTATTTGATTTTGTGCAACGTTTTATACTAGGAATGTGCATAGGAGAACATGCACACTACTCTCAAAGCATTCCTTCTTTTATTGTTTACAATAAAATTCCACTATTTCACAATGATAACCTTTTTTCTGCATTACAAATAACTGCTCTATTAGAGTGAAAGATGTGCAACTCCAAAGGGACAAATAAACTCCTGAACATGCTGTCTGCTAGAAAAGATTAATAGTATCTCACTTGTCAACATGTAGAAGTCATTGAAATATGTTGGCTGATCATCCTGAGAACGAAAGAGAGAGACTAAAGTTGTTATTTTATTCAAAGGGCATCAATATTGTCATCCAGATAAGGAAAGATTTTAAAATTAAAGTGTAGTTTAACTCTCTCAAGTGAGTTGTGTTAGAAATAATAGTCAAACGATTATCCAGACAGAAGCAGACATGTCTCTGAGATGCCATTAATAGACAATGTCCAGAAAGTTGTGATTCTTAAGCAAATATTAATGCCCAGTGGAAGAAGGAAGATTTAATCAAACAGCGAAAAGTGGGTGAAGCATGCAATTTTTCAAAGCATGACAGCTGATGCCAAATGGTGATCAGATTAACGAGATAACAAAGAAAACTGGTACTTACAGACGTATTATAAAAGGAGCAGCCCCCAAATATAAATGCTATATTTCCAGCCATTACCAATGCATGTCCATGTCTAAATAGTAAATCAAACAATGGTAAACATTTTGGGACACTTTCACAACATTGACTCTATTCACTTTCACTGAAAAGAGAGACCAGCCATACGGCTGGGCCTCCCTAGTACAGATCCTCCCACAGGGCTGAACAAGGCACTCAATTTCTCATGGTCCAAAACTGCCACAGTCTCAGCTTATTCACAAAAGCCATAACTACAAACATTTCTTCCCCTCTTCTTCGTGGTGTGCCATCATCTCTCATATCCCTCACAGTGCTATTGGGTACCAACAGGACAATGTATGGCTGAGGGTGCTGGGAGTAAGCTTTCTTCAATACAGAAGCATGCTTTTGCCAGCCATTTTTGTTAACCAAAGTAGAAAAAGAAATTGGCAATAATCTCAATTCAGTGGGCCCTTCCCTGGCAATAAAGTCCTGTAAATATGGTGGGGCTTTCTTTAGAGCAGTGTTGCCCAAACTTGGCCACTTTAAGATGAGTAAATCAGGTGATATGAGCTACACTGTAAGGTGAACATTTCATAGAACCCCTTAAAAAAAAGAAAGGAAGAAAGCAGTTTTATAGAAAAGTGGAAGCATTTTTTGTTGTTTGCCATTTTACTGATACAAATTCATGGTATTTCCATACTTGAGTGAGATCATCATTTATACTGCTTTTGATCATCATCATCTCTTCTTTATTTGTCTCCATCATGGAAAAACCTCCCCTCCACTAAATCAAATAAGTGTAATTTTATTTACTTGTAATTTAAATAAGATGGACTTGGTTAGTTACATAGCATAGACAGAAATTACAGAAATTGGGGCAAGGATGTCCACACGTCAGCAATCACAACAATAATCCAATCAGTTTCTAAGCTGCAGTTCTTACCCAGTTTCTAGGGTTTTCTGGAATTTGGTCACTGGGACCATATGGAGTTCTGAAATGTTTATTCATTACCTTTATTTTTAAACTCCTGTTAATTTTATTTAACAGTAGTTATTTGCCACTTAAAATTCCAGTTTGCTACTGTATAGCAAGAGGCCTATGAAACTCTAAAAACAAGATTAAAACCAAAATCTAAAAATACATGGATATATTAAAATATCAACCCAGTCAGAAAATTAACCAAAGTCAGGAGAAGCCATAGGAAACAGCCAGAGTGAGAAAGTTAGGACCATATCGCTAGGAAGGAACTCATCAGTGTGGACATCAATTTGGCTTCAGAGGGGAAAGAAAGAACTCGGAAACCTCTATAGTTTTCTTTATATGCTGGATGGATTCTTGTGGGATCTGGCAGTCTTTTAAGTATTTGTGTTCATTTACAAATGCTCAAGTTAGGGATAGCAGAAACACTGCATTAATTATTCAGGCAAGCAGCCAAATTTAAACGACCTCACATCAGAATTTTCAGCCCATTAATATGCATTCCTCTCTCCTAGAGAGAGTTGGCAGGAAGTACACTGGCACACTGAACTGCCCTGATGGTTGAGCTCTATTTTGCCTCAGTGGTGAGGCTGGGGACTGGTCCTAAACTCATGGTTTCAAGGAGCAGTTTAAGGGCAGCAATTGGTAGAGCCTCCAGCTGCATTTCTCCTCCCAGCCAGTGTCACCTGTCAGTCAGAAACACTGTCACAATTGCTGTCCTTAATATGTGATGGGGTGGTTTTGGGCAACTATGCAAAAGTGTTTAAGGCAAGGGCTTTAACCACTTATCAAGTTGCCTGAGTAACAGATTGTGGACACAGAAGTCTCTGTATTGCTGACCTGCTACTTGGGCTGTTTCTGAACACAGATTTAGCACTCTTCTGAAAATGTGCTGGACTTGTTGGTTTAAATATAGGTCTAGTGCTTTTCTGGAAAAGCACTAAACCCATATCCCCAAAACAGCTCAAATGCAGGTTGCACGCAAAGCAAAGTGATGCACACTGAAGCAAAAGGGAGTTTCTTCCTGCTTCATCTTGTACTTCTCCACGGTGCATGCAGTGTATCAGTTGGGCGCAGAGAGAAGTGGAAGGAAACAATCAATATGTGCTGCAAAGGAATGGCAGCAAGCAGCTATGGTTGGCAGCTTGAAATTCAGCCCGTTCCACTTGGCTACCTGTGACCTGTCACTCAGTTTCAAAGGAGAAATAGGAAGAACTCTTTGTATTTTAAATTGGTACCTACTGCAAGGGTAGTCAATGCTGGTAGCACCCATAAGTAGCTGGTGGAATTTGTAAAATGGCACAGGAGTATGAAAAATGGTGCTTCCAGTAATACAGTAAAAAAATCACAAGAAATTATCTATGTGCAAACCCCTTTGTTGGTAAAAGCAGCAGAAAATCTGGAATGCTCTTATTTGCATAGAATCAGCAACAAACAACTGGCAGGATCTGGCTCTCATTTTTGGTTTAAATCAACCAAGGCACCAATTCATTTTCATAATGGCAGTTCTAGTGCTCTTTTAACAGACCGCTAATAGCAGGTTTAAAAATAGGCTGAAGCATTAACCCATATATGGAGCTTGTGTAATACCTGGTTAGGCAGCACATGGGCAAACGCTTTCATGGGAGCCAGGTCTCTCTGACTGCCCAGGCCAAAATGACCACAGAGGGCAGGAATCAGCAACTGGAGGGCAGTGAAGTTCCCCTCTGCAGTATTGGATGGCAAATATAAAAAAGTACCATTGGCTGAAAGGCTCTGCCCATGTGATTCTGGAGAGATGGAAACCACAGAACATGTTCTTCTTCATTGCTCCTTTTACAGAGACACCCGGACCAGATTTATCCACCCTCTGATTAGCAGATATCCTGGTTGTTCAGACTTGGCCCATGCCCAGATGCTGCTCATAGATGAGCTGCCTTTTATTAAGCATATCTGGCTAGGTTTTGCGCAGCAATGTGGAAGATTTGCCGGACCTTGACGGGCCAAGTTCCCACTAGGCAGAAGTATTCTATGTAATCTTAGATATTATCATATGTTTTGGTAACTTTACATATTATCACATTTTACTTACATTTTAGATACTATCACATTTTTGTAATTAGAGATGTTACCATGTTTTATATAACTTAGGTACTACTTTATAACCTAGACATAGATTGCTCCTTTTGGACTTCACTCACAGATTCTAGTCAGGTTGTTTCATAAATGTATTTTAACTTTGCCTTAAAATGTATTTACTATCTTTTAAGATAGATTTATAAGCACTCACAGAGCACTAATCGATCCATTGTTTGTACTGGTTGAGGACTGTAATAAACTGACTGCCTGACAATATTAACTGGAGAGGAATGGGCATGACTGGAATGGCCTAAAGAGGGCCATAGGAGCCAGGCAGATTCCAGCCCTTGACCTTGACATTTCCACCCTCATCAGCAAGGCATCATAGATGGCGTCTGCAGCCGAGTTTGGGCCAGAAGAAGAGGAAAACACATTATGCAGACATATTGCTAATATGCATAACAGCAACTTATCTCTTATATATTTTTATAAGGCTTAAATGACCTCCTTGGGAACCCTCCAATTCATGATTCTTGATTCTTAAGAGGACAATAGCACTTTGGGAAGAGAAAGGCAACCAGTGCCCTGAGCTCCCTTCCATATTGCTACCATCTCCTCTCTCCAAACCCTTCAAAGCAGTGTGAAGAGGACCTACAATCCTCTTCTTTAGTACCAACTCAGGCATATTGAGACCAAGAGCAAAAAACTGCAAGGCTTCCCTGAACTTCTACAGGCCCTGCAGTAATAACAAAAACAACAGAAAGAAAAACCTTATCCAGCAGTGAAGAAAACTAAATTAAATCACTTGTACATAATCCCATATATATACAGTACCTTTCTATGTATAAACTTATTACAGTACATATTTCATTTATTTGAATGTCTGTCTGCAATAAAATAAAATAATAAAATAAAATAAAATAAAATAAAATAAAATAAAAATTCTAGGTTCCTATGGGGAGGGGAGCTGAAAAGCCTTTAAACTACCTTTCCCTTGAAAGACAAAACAGCATGGCTGCAGACCAGGAGTCAGAAGGTAGGTTGAGCTAGGGTTTCCATGAATAAGGAAGCAGATTGCCCGCAGGCTTCATAGAACTGAGGGTCTCCAAAACCAAACTACTGTAGTTTCACTGCAATTTCAAAAACATCACAGCCGACCACAAAACTAAATTGGCTTAGCTGCTGAAGTTGAGGTTGTACAATCACAAGGAATTGGAATAAATCTTACAGCAATATAAACATCAAGAGGACCTCTAAGTTTGTAGAGCCAAGTCACTTTGTCTGCATTTTTTCCAGCCTGAAAACATCTTCTTTCACACAGAGAAATTTTCTTTATATCATTCTCATTGAGAGAGGATAAAGAATGAGACATCAGCTTTAAATCTCTGTTGACAATTGATAAGTCTTACTAACAAGAGCAACAGCCTATTATTTGGTTTCCATGATGCCATGGATATTCCATGGATATTCCTTGATATTATTGTCCTCTTAAGAATCAAGAATCATGGATTGGAGGGTTCCCAAGGAGGTCATTTAAGCCTTATAAAAATATATAAGAAATAAGTTGCTGTTATGCTTATTAGCAACATGTCTGCATAATGTGGTCTTTGGAAGATGTTTCACACCATTCTAAATTACACTCACAGTTTGATTTTACCCTCATATTATCCTCACTGACCAAGAATAGTATGGAAACTATACTGGCATATATATATTTTATAGATATAAGTGCTACTGTTCAGAAATATTACCTAACACATAAAATACATATGCAGGAGATATGTTTTCAACGTCTTTTTAAATAGTGTTTCAACCAATATATGACTTGAGAGAAATGCAGTTCTACCACACACAAACTGTAGCTGAGGAAAATCTAGTTCTTGCTCTTAAGGGGACATTTATGATTTTTAACACAGATTTCACATAGGCCAAAAATAGTTTCCTTAAGCTAACCACAATTGTACTATCAAATCTTTATTCACAATAAACCTATTTACAGTATATATAAAGTTAAATTCTAATACAAGATAGTCAAGAAAAAGAAAGAAATTTAACAATGCACTGAACCTTTTTAATACTATGTTTCAGTACAACACACAGATATAAATAAATGAAGACTGACTTTTTTCTGTTTTTTTTTTTTTTAACCACTATATCATACCTAGGAGTTGGAGGATCTCCACTCACTTCTTTTTTACTCCAGTGTCCACTTGCTAATGCCATCTTAGAACTACTAAGAAGACTGTATTTGGAAAGAAAAAAAAATGGTTGGATTATTCTAAGAGTATATAATGGAATTTCTATTGGTACTCACTAATGAATGTGTGTTATGTCTGGGATGCAATCAACCAGTATGAGTTTGGGAAATGCTTCCATTTGTGAAAGTGAACAGGACTGACAAGTTCCTTTTTCTATTGAAAATTCATTCTAGAGATTGTCCCAACTTTTAGAAGCAGCTTTTATGTGGAAGAAAGAGAAGGAGAAGGATGAACAACTGTAGTCAGAAGATGGGAAGGACCTGATAAATCACACTGCACATACAGAAATCTTGGATTTCAACTGCTATCTTCAGTTCAGCTTTTACCAACATGGTCCATTTAGATGTGTCTGAATTCAGTTCCCAGAACTTCTACCCAGCATGGCCAAAGGAAATTCTGGCAGGAAAATACAGGATCTGGACTTTAACATGTCTAAACATCACCAACTGAAAAAGTATTATCTATCAGTATTATCATATTCACTGAAATTGATAACAGTAATGGTTCTGTTTGCCATTTTCCTTGAAGTTAGTTTGTGGAAATTCTCCAATAATGATAAAGCATGAAACAGAATTGAATTTTCCTTCTTTTTTCTTTTCTCTGTGTTCTACTTACCCTTGTGCTTCTGTTTCTTTAGAAATACAGGAATTAATGTATCTTCAACCTCAGTAAGCCTTCCAGTATTAATTTCACCAGTTTTATCTTTACCTGCTCTGATAACAGTTGCTATGACACCAACATACACAGAGAGACATGCACACCTTTGTTGCCTTTATAATTCTGATTTATTTCCGGGTTATTTGAAGTCATGGCAACTCAAACAGACACTGGCCATAATGTATACTCAAAACTCCCATCATTCTATCCCTCTCTAGGAAAAACCAACTTAATGTACATATGGAAGATTGCCATCAAAGCAACAGTAGCAGATTTTTAAGAAAAGGTCTAATCTTGACTTTGCAAAGCCTATAATCCTATACATATTTCTTTATAAGTAACCCATCCCATACTCTGTATAGACATGTATAGGAAAACACTATAAAGGAACATAAAACTATGGGTAGTATTAAATGTTTGAGGATCAGACTGTAGAACTGTTGCTGCAACAAAGAGAAATCTTCATAGTGGTCATAGTAGAGGTTTTGTATCTTCTCACCTATCTCTAACACACTTCTCTTAGGGGTGAGCTTAAGTTTTATAATGTCATGGAATTTGCCAAAGGAAGGAGCACAACGCTGAGGAGAAAAGAACCAAATTTTATTCAACAATCGTTGGGTGCCTGCTTTCAGAGAAAGAGGGACCCTGAACAATTGCTTTAGTAGATTAAGAATTATGACAGGAAATTAATATTGTTAAACTTTTCTTAGGCCAAGAGGTAACATATTAAAATAGATCTCCAACCCATGGACATTGTCCTAATTCACCATGATTTGAAATATATATGATTATGGAAATGGTTTCCTCATCCTGAAATAAGTCTAACACAACAGAAAAAATTGCTTACAAATTTCATCACTTTTCATACATCCAGGCCTGACTCACACTTTGGGCTAAGCTATAGTGTGATTAGTTTTCTTCTTCCCATTGAGCTATTTGAAGAAAGCACAAGGTGGACTACAGGCCGCAGTTATATAGAATTATGGATGTGGATGTATTTGGCTGTATTATAAAGTGTTGCTAATATGCACAGTTCTAGCAGTTGGCTTGTCTTTGCTGGAAATGCCTGTCCAATTGGTTTGGTTATTAAATCATAAGCTGGATCTTGGAATTCTAATTCATGTAAGCATCCATGTACATAGTGGTCGCAGTTCTGTCAAATGGAACTCACAATTTGCAGTAAAACAGGGTTTTATTTCTTGTATGTTTAAAATATACATACACTCTACAATAGCAATATTGTGATGTAGTCTGGTGTAATTTAGATCACACTTTTAGGTAACTCTTCCCCTTCTTTTCCAGGTAAGAATCACACATTTACATTTATGATGATGATGTTTAGGAGATGATGACAGTTGTAGAAACATCATTATTTCTGAATAATTAGAAAATAGAGTTCTCTTGATGGATTGAAATAAGGGAAATTGACTTAAACAATGAAATTAATGTTGATTTTAAATGGATCTTGGAATTCTAATTCATGTAAGCATCCATGTACATAGTGGTCGCAGTTCTGTCAAATGGAACTCACAATTTGCAGTAAAATAGGGTTTTATTTCTTGTATGTTTAAAATATACATACACTCTACAATAGCAATATTAGAATAAAGGGTTGCTGAGGCTGGGATAGGAAAGAGAAGATATTTTTCACACCTAGCTTTATGTACTGCTCTTAGTCATGAAGCACATTATGCTGAACCATAGAAATCAACCACATTATGGCTCAGTATGTTGTACAAACCTGGTCTAGGTTACAGAAGAGTCCAAGTGTGCTGGCTCTCTGTTCATCTACAGTATATTTCTTATATTTCTTTTCTAGGCATTGCTCTGATACCTTGGCTCCAGATTGAACCCAGATTGACCAGCAAATGGCTACTGAAGAAGAGAATGGAGGTGCTGCTAGAAACAGAATAGCAGGAAAGAATGCAGCGAAACATGTGTTATGTGATTTATGCTTTGTCTCCATTAAAGAGAGATATGGGATACACCACTAATTAAAGGGAGTTAATTCTAGAAAAATGCCAGCACCTAACATTGCTTGTCTGGCAGGCAAATATATCTTCTGTAGATCCACAAAGAAGTCTTCAAAACCCTTGAAGCATTACTACTTTCCAAACAGTCAAGAAGTTAGAGTAGAATATATTTATCCACCTCCCTTTAAGCCATATTTTGTTTCTAACAGACTAAATTTGGTGAAACGTATCTAGAAAAATTCAAATTATTCTGAACCTTCTATGGTTTCTTTTTATGGGAGAAGATGAAACAATATTTCACTCTGCTCTCATCCTAGTCCAAACACAACCCTACAGCTATTAAGTTATTTTTATAAAACCTTATAGCTGTTCTGAAATCTAGACATCAGTACATTAAGAGAAGTCATTTGAGTACAATTGTCTCCCCATCTGACCATCCTTCGTGGAGAAAGTTATCAACAGAATCATCAACTCACTCAGCAGGACATTCTCCAGAGCATTCAAAAATCCCTTACATTCCCCAAAATCATTTTATTTAGTCCCTCATCCATATAGAAAAAGCCAGCTACCACAATCCAAATTTCATGAGAAAGTTTATTATCTTACATTATTTCTTGTGTCTTCCATCCACTTGCCTTGCTGTCTTCTATTGTCTGGACTGTGCACTTACTTGGCAGAATAAAACTGACCTGGAATCACTTGGTCCCCACAACATTTATTGTAATATCACTAAAATCTAGTCATATTTTGCAAGACTTCTTTTTAGAAGGATACTTAGATCACTGAGTGAGATTCTCTGATGACTCTCAGAAAAATTGCTGAACTCAACCTCAGCTTTGGAGCTAAGCTCAATCATTTAGTCACCTGGAAATCTATTTTTAAATCAAACATTTATAGTTCTGGAGTCTTAATAATAGCTATGCAGTTTCACCAGAATCACTACTGGAATTTGTTGAGTTAGGGAACAACTTGATTATTGCTTTTGGACAACATAATCCTGGAGCATTTCTACATTAAGCTGGGGAGTGTTTTACATCTCATTTAAATTTATATCCTGAATCTGAACAACTAGGAAATAGCCTCTGTGTCCTATATTTCTACCTGGAATTCAAACATCATGCTAAATCATAGTTTGCTTAACTGTGTGTTACTGAATACAGTATATCGGCTGGATTCCTTCAACATTTTAAGCCAAAAACAAACAAGCCACTTTTTGTTTTAGCCAATGTGTGAGGCAAGTTTCCATGACCTATGTGAAAATGATTTTCTTCTGTGCTTCTTTTCTCTATAATGGAATTATACTGTAACTGCCTATGCTGTTGGGTTTTGTGCAGTGTTTGGGTCTGAAGGCAAGATGGTCTTTCATAGCATTCAGGGGCACTCACTAACAAGTGTTTGGAACAGCTGTGTCTTTTCCCAGAACTGCACAACTGCCTACCTGGACATCAGAATCACTTAGGTTTTTTTTTTTAATATATAATTTTATTAAGCATTTTGATTATAATAGTAAAATCTAATACAAACTAAACTTAAAGAAGGAGAACAGAATAGAAAGGATAAAAAGTGCAAGGTAAAAGAAAAAAGAAAGAAAGAGGAGAAAGAAAAACTAAGAATATAATAAAGAAAAAAAATGTAAAGTGACTTCCAACTTTCATCATGACAAGTATAAACAAATTTAGTGACTATTCACCTCCCTAAGGTTACCAACAATTATCTCTTCATCCCATATCCTATCCCTTATCTATATGGAAGTCCTTCGGGTTTGAAGAAGACACGCTGTTGTGCAGTTCATCTGTGGACATGGAGGTGGCTCTGCAGTCCCCATCATGAAGCACAGAGTCCAGCACAATGGGGGCACTGGAAGTTCATTGCTGTAGTAACTGGGTGTATTCTGTGACACTGCTCATGGTTTTCTATCAGATTTTGGTGGCGCCTGTCTTCAAAGCTGGTGGAGGCTCCATAACACAGGCTCACCAGGAGGTTGTGTCAGCAACCACAGCTTCTAGTTCCCTTGGCTGGATGTCACAGTGGCATAGGGTTTCTTTCACAGCATCTTTGTAGTGCTTGCATGGTTGACCTCGAGGTCCCTTCCCAGATTCCAGTACATTATAGAGCAACTGGCGAGGTATATGGTGGTCATCCATTAGGAGGTTGTGTCAGCAACCACAGCTTCTAGTTCCCTAGGAGGTTGTGTCAGCAACCACAGCTTCTAGTTCCCTTGGCTGGATGTCACAGTGGCATAGGGTTTCTTTCACAGCATCTTTGTAGTGCTTGCATGGTTGACCTCGAGGTCCCTTCCCAGATTCCAGTACATTATAGAGCAACTGGCGAGGTA